GTTTGGTGGCCTAGAAAATTCATGTTGGAAAAATTATGCCACCAGGTCAGATGTCCTAGAAAAAATATGAGCGGTTAATAGCAATTTTTGTCGATAATTTGTCGACAAATGCCCTCTTCGACAGATTTATCGACAAAAAAAACGAAAAATTTATCGACAACGTGTCGACAAAATTTTGTCGATAAATTACTTTCGAAAAATTTACCGATAATTTGTCGACAATTTATCGACAAAATTTTATCGTTTTTATCGGAAAATTTATCGATAATTTGTCACGTAAATTTGTCGACAAAATCGGAAAATCTTTGTCGATAAGGCACACTGCACAAGAAGTATGGAATGATAATATTATCGGAGGAACACCATACGACTTGGACGGTTTCGAATTTTTTGAAGAAAACGAAGAGGCGGGAAATTTGAATCTTCATTTCTCCCAACCCCCACCGAACGCTCCAGAATCATTCAAAAGCCAATGAGTTCCATGGATTCAGTTTCGTGTGAATTTTGAGAGAAAATAGTATTTAGAATACGAAAAAAGCATTCGATCCGCATCGAAGTATCTGAATTCTCTATTTTTCGCAAATAGATTTTCCCCGATGTCGGTGAATTTTCTACGGATTCGAAATGGGAATATGGAGATGTGCTTGCCATACGAATATTTCGTACAGTTGGCTAAGAATTTGATCCGAGATCAAGCACCAATTGGCACAAACTTTTCCGCTGGTTTCCAGGCCAGAGGACAAAAAGTCATGGATCGTATTCAGCGCGAGTTTGAAGTCAATTGGAGGAAAAAGTAACTTTTGGAGAGCAAACCAACTTGCAGGAAACCATACTTGTGAACCGGACCTTTGCGGGCGGGGGGGGGGGGCTGCTTAGATTCTTTTAGAATCAATGATTACAGATATATTAGAACTTGATGAGTGCAAAATGATACTACGCTGCGCGTTATATATAATTATAGGACTCCCCTCTCGAAAGTTCCCAGAACTCCAGAAAAGAAAGTTTCTGAATTTCTGGATATTTCAAATTTTCAATTTTTTGAAACTCTGAATTTTCGAACACTGACATTCTGGAAAACTGATTTCAGTCATAAAACTAGAATTGAAACTTTAAATTTCAGCGTTTCTATTTCACATTTTGTGATTTTTCGAATTTACGGATTTTTGGGACTTATGGAACAGGGAAACATTCAAATTTCCTATTTTTTTAAATTCAAAACTCGAAATTTCCGATTTCTTGTTTTTCAGATAATTCAACAAACATTTCCAGACTCCCACTCCTCTCCATACCACTGAATGAGCAATCGGAAATCAAAGTTTCCCTCGACGAACAGAATCCACCAAATTTTCATGGAACGTCGTTCATTTTGAAGATGCAAGTTATCCCTAAACGAATCCCGAATGCTGAAATTTCTTGTTTTTTGTTCAATTTTCAGTTCTTTTTCCTGAAAACCAATAAAGTTTAAGAAATCAATTTCGCCCGTATTTTACAGATTTATTGAGCTCAGACTAGGCTCTTTTTGGTGGGATCAGAATATCGATAAATGGATCAAAATAAGTTTGAAGAGTTTAGGTAAAAATAGGAAAAGTTAGAATAAGTCAAAAAAATCAGCAAAATGAGAAAATTTAAATAAATAGAGGCACGGGGAATAAGATTATTGAGCCATTTCGGTGTTGTTGGTTTTCTCGGTGAGTGGTTCGGCGTTAGTGTTGATCTTGTCAGTGTTGATCTGAAGTCCATCGTCATCTACAATTAGAAAAAAGGGGTGAAAAGCACACACAAATTTAAAGGGACATGCAGGGGGAAGTGAATGCGTGTTCAGGTACAGTAATTTTGGATGCATGAGTTACGCTTACCGTAATCATGTAAGCCTTACAGTTAACTACATTAGGTACAGTAATCCTAAATCTAGTAAAGGATACAGGTACAGTAATCCTGGCTCACAGTTACATCTAGCTCTCTCCCAACTTCTGAGATAAGATATCCTCATAGTCATAGTCAATCCTAAACTTTTTGGGCCATACTACCGTAATCCAAAACCCAGACACGATAATGCTGGAACTGGTTACAGTCATCCTGAATTCAGCTACAGTAATCTTTGCTCACAGTAATCTATAACTCTCTCTACTTTGGGATATAACAAGTAGTGATTTTCAAAAGTTTTAATTTTGGGAAAAAATATTCCGAAAGTGTTAATATTTCTGTTATATTTGTTGAAAAAATACGTTGCTCCCAAAAACTTAACGGTCCATCTTTTGGGAGATTCAAAAGATTCACGTGGCTCACAAAAAATTTTGAAATTTCAGTACTTTGATGTGAAAATTAAAACTTTTGAAATTCACTACTTGTTATATGATTACAGTAACCCTAGCTTACAGACACCTCCAGGTATATTTCTAGCAGTAATACTGTAATCGTCTTAACTACAGTAATCCTAAGCTTATAGGGCCATGCTACAGTAATCCACCCCTCTGATTTCCTAATTCTGGATCCGGTTACAGTAATTCTTGCTCAATGACCTAAAATCTAGATGCAGTAACCCTAGTCTAATCCTCCTAGCTACAGTAATCTAACACCACTCTTTCACTAGGCCATGCTACAGTTATCCTGAATCTAATGAGGTAACTGCTACACAACACACTTTTCATTGACACGGTACCCCAACCTACCTCCCATCTCAACATCCTCAACAGCTTCCTGTTCCATTTGCTCTCCAGCAGCCTCAACACGTGCTCCCTCTTGCTGCTCTCCGCCCTCCAGAGCATTTGCCATACGCTCGTTGAAGCTCTCATTGAGATCGATCTCAGCATTTCCACCAGTCGCATCCATATCATCGTCCTCGTCATCATCATCGTCTTCCTCTTCTTGTCCCTCATCGTTCAATGGCATGAGATCCTCTTCGGCGAACACTTGTTCCTCTTCGACGGCTGGCTCGGGTGCTGGATCCTCGTCAGTCCAACGGATTGGGAATGTCGTCACACGCAGATCTTCGGTTTCGACTTTGCGGGAGAGCTGGAAGGTTGAAAGTTAAGAATAGAGTCTAGGAGACATGCTGGTTATTTTCATACATGT